TAAGATATACCAACTTCATTCTCGTCTGGTATCTAGTTCCTATACATATATACATGTAATACAAGTATATAGATATTAATTTCCCGTCGTCCCACTCCCCTCTCCATATCTAGCAAGGTAGTCTACTCTCAAATATGATATCTCATCAACAACAAAACATATCGTGCTAAACTCCCAAAAAGTCCTTCCTTTCCTTTCCCTCCATTCCATAACACCATCCACCATACCATATAACATAACACCAACCAAATAAAACAACCACCTCCACTCCCATCTATCTACACCCCTCCTCTCTTTTCCTGCCAACATACCCAGCCCAATCCGTCTGCACCCCCAAATCCCCCTTCCATCCCTCCCCATCCCACAAACCCAACCCACAAAGATGTCTCATCGTCGGTCTTCCATGCGGACAATTCCACGGCTGTTCAATTTCCCCCATATGTCTCACCACCTTCTCCATTTGTGTCTTCGTCAACGTCTTCCCAATCATAATACTACTCCTACAAGCTCTCATCGCAAACATTTTCCTTACTTTGCTCGGTCGCACCATACCTGCTCTCCCTCCACTTTCCGCTAATAGTGCGATTAGCTCTTCTAGATCATTGATTGAAAAAGTCGTTTCTCGTGAGACGGGGAGGGATACAAGTTGGCATCTTCCTCCTATATTTTGGGGATGAGGGATCAATTGTTAAGATGAATCCGTTTTGTTCCAATATGTCGAGGTTTTCAGCTACGATTTCTTCTTCTAGTGCCGTTAGAGAAAGAGTTTTGGGGGTAAACTAATCGTTGCGATTGTACAATAGTCGTAGCTTGTAATCGTTCAAAATTATATTTCTCATCTGATGAATGTTGATCAATAATGAAGACATTGTCCGCTGTTTGTATTCCACCATTTTCGCTTGTTGACTCAGGGGCTTTAGACGCGAGGATGAAGCCGAGATTGAATTGACCGATGATTTTCATCTTAGCAAAATCACTTTTCGAAATTGTTAGGGAGAGTCGCTTTTCTGCCCCGACAGAATCGAGAGCATCGTCTTGGGAATTAGAGGTAGTTTGATTTGTGTATCGAGAAAGTGCATCATTCAGAGATTGAAGTTGTTGATTAATATCGAGGACAGTAGTGTCAATTGTCTGTGTCAGGTTGAATGTTGATTCCTTCCTCTTCGCGCCACCTTTCAGAAGTAATTTTGCACGAGAAGTATTTTCTTGTGATGGTAGCTCAGCCATTCTTTCAGCCTCTTCAATCATCTCTTGAACTTTCGCTTCTTCCTGAATCTTCTTCTCCTTTTCATCTATGTAATCTGCGTCTCCATCATTACCATCCGTATCATTGACCGGAGGGGCTTCTGATGATACAGATGCTTCCTCATTTGCCAAAGAAGCGACCAGCGAATCTTCATCGACTCTTGCATCTTGGAGATTAGTCAATGGACTGGCATCAGAAGCGCCCGATGAGTCAGGTTCAGCTGTTTCCAACGTAGATTCTGGTTCCTCTATGTCTACCATATCTGTATCATCATTGGCTCCTGAGGCTTGGGTCCCAGGTGCACCAAACCGTTTAATAAGCCGGCGTCCAAATGACGGCCTAATCGCAGCTCGCTGCGGCTCTATGCCTTTACGTAAGGTAGCAGAAGTGCCATCAACCTTCAATCTCTTTGGAGCCGGTATTCCAATAGAACTAGTCACAGTATGATCACCAATCGTGATTGTGGCCATTTCCTGTTGAGGCCGTCGTGGTCTACTACTTTCAAGCGAGGTCAGTACCCCTGGAGTGGACATTGGAGATGGTGATAGAAGTTGGGGAACGGGCTGTTCTGACTCAGAAATACTAAGCGTAACTCCTGGAGCTTCTACTGTTTTTGATGCTTCTCTGGAGATACTAGCCTCTGCCATGCGGTCATTGAAATCAGCAACGTGTCGAGGAGGTCTATACGTCGGTGCTGGCTGAGATCCTTGAGTAGTTTCAACCGAACTTTCAGGGCTTACAAGATCATCTTCAGCCTCCTCAACCTGGGCAGCCTCCTTGCCAAACTTGGAGATCAATCTTTGCTTTTCCTTCGACAAACCTTGACGAACATCTTGCTCAGGCTTAGGAGCTGCAGGTCGTTGGTCACTCCGTTCCTCTGATTTACGACTGACCCAATTCGAGATTAAGCTAATGGCCTCACCATCTTGTGCCAATGAATCTCGCGATATGCTAGCACGTTTTGCTTTTGAATCAGATTGCACATTAGATCTCTCACTATCTGTATTTTGAGCTTTACTGGGTCGCCTAAATTTCGAGACGGCTTGCGAAGCTTGTTCTTCCTCCTCATCTTCCTCCTCGACAGATGGATCAGATACTTGAGTGCGCCGTTGCGAAGTTTCAGATACGCCAGCAGCTTCTCTATCAATTGTCAATTGCTTATACTGTGGTTGTTTCTGTGCTGGTAATTGAGATACGGGCATTGTATGATCCTGACTTTCAAAGAGTTCAGCGAGAGCCATCTTCAGATTTTCCAACATACGACTCTGATCATGAAGTAATATAGTACGCTTATCAGGACTGACATTGACATCATAGAGATGAGTATCTAATTCGATATTAGCGAATATGAATGGGGATTGAGTGCTTCCCCATCCATTGTATGACTTGTAGACTTCGTTGAAAGCCTTTGCCACTTGGGGTAGTCCACATGGCCTTGAGTTCACGAAGAGCATCTGTCTATCAGGGGTCTGACGTCCTTCTCCTGAAGCTGGACGAGAAATATGGCCAATTATTCGAATATCTTTAGTCCCGCCATCGTTCCCGGTACTCCACCTCTGACCTGGGCCGCTCGTAGGCTCCAATTCTAGACGTAAATCCATTGAAATTAACTGTGTGAGGGTTTTCGCGCCGAAAACATTAACAATATTCTCTCTAGTGGTGGGATTTCCTTTTGTGGAAAAAATCGTTGTCTTTTTGCCCTTAGCCGCCTGCTGAGAAACAGTAAACTTGATACCGGTTTGTATACAAGCGTATTGCCCTAAAACACCTGTAACCTTGCCCCATTCTCGTTTGATGTTCTTTTCAAGCTCGCGTCGTCTCACTGGCAAATTGTTGAATAAGTTCTCTACAATTACTGTAGTTCCTTTCTGCGCAGCCACGACCGATGTGCTCTTTAACTTCCCTGATATCTCGAATTCGAGCTTCGTACCCTTCGGCGCATTTTCTGGCAAACATGTAATGACAGAAAAACTTGAAAGAGCGCAGAGCGAGGACAAGGCTTCACCACGAAAGCCAAACGTTTGAAGGGTCGTCAGGTCGTTATATGTGGACAATTTCGAGGTATGATGTTTGAGTGCTAATGTATCGTAGTTATGCGGTGAAATTCCGCCACCATTATCCTGAACTTCTATTGCTTCGAGCCCTTGATTCTTAAAACGCACATCTATTTAGTCCTTAGCATATGGTTTCCCGGGTAATATAAGTATGGATTTGTTCCTACCAATGCTCGTTGCTCCAGCATCCAGGCTGTTCTCCACCAGTTCTTTCACCACTGAACATAAATCAACAATCACTTGGCCAGACTGGATTTGGTGGATCTGTGAATACAGAGATGATTAGTCCTGTATATCAAGATTGAATTTCATAGAATTTCTCACCGTCCGGCCTTCAATAGGTTTTATGGTAGCCATAGCATTTTTTCTTGGTAGAGAGACGCGGTTGATGTTGGGAAGACGCGCCTGAAGATTGACTGCTTTAAAGTGGTTCTTTCTCGCGTCACAAACGTCACTTTTATTTAAGCTTCATAATTGTCAATGTTATTAGGTATTTACATATATATTAATAAAACTGGAAAAGTAAAAATGGTAAATTACATATATGAAGGGAAAGATTAACAAGACAATAAACTCATCGAGGGGACTCAATAAGTAACCTACCTAAGTATCTACTGATACAACGTCTAAATCATAAGTTTTGCGGGTCACCGGGAACACACCAAATCCTCTCTTCGCTAGGTACGTAGAATTCTCTGCTACATAAAGTACCATTACGGTGTCCAACTCTTCCATTTATTACATTTCCATTCACCAATGAACTTTTAAAGCTTACACATTAGGTCATATGACCATGCTTAGGTAATAATCACTTGGGAAACCTTCACCGCTTTGGTCGATCATGATGGGGCGCGTCCCGTTTTTTACCGGGAGAAAAAGGAGATAGATAGCATGATAAGATAGAGATACAAAGATAAGAGATTTTTTTCCTTCTGCATGATGCATTACCACATCATGATTTACTGTACAGCAACATCACATCACATCATCATCTCATGAGAAAAGCAAAAAGAAAATATATTATTTTTTAAGAATCATGAACTTTTTATTCCGCTCTCCAAAGTTTCATCTCACCAGCAAGAGCTAAATTATGCTGCCATCTGCGCCCTATATAGATATCTGACCGATAGTGGGTGGGAAAAAGAGAAGCGATAATGCATGAACATGCATGGCAAACACCAGCTTCTAAATTGGCTCTTGCATGAGCAGAGGGGAAAACCTGGCGTGAAAGAATCTAGCTTTCATTATCTACTCCAAACACTCCTTTGAAATTCATGCCTTAGAATTTCCCGCCTTTCCATGAGCATGTTGTCATTCGTGAAATAGAAGTCAAGCTTCGTGCTTTTGCGTGTCCGGGTCTAAAATTGATATTCTCAATTGGAGTAGCTGGAGGAGCGGAAAGCGGAACGTGGGTTTTATTATTTTGACATTAATGTGGCGACGCGACCATCCATGCGTCTAGCCGATATTTTTTTGGTGATATTTTGAGGATCCTGGACGTGAAAAGAAATGCAAGATAGGAAGCGCATATTTTCGTGGTAGTACAATCCATCAATGGAGGTGGATACTGGAATATCAGTAGCAGTCTGATGCGAGAGAATGCCAACAAATTTTCATTGAGATCAACGTGCTGCACTAGGGGTAGAGGAAAGATTTCGTTAGGTTGGTATTATCGACAAGAGGCAAAAAGAGACACCACACGCCAATCTTGACATTCCATAATTCGCATAAGATCAAGGAGAGGTTGTGATGATTTTGCTGAACTATGAAGTGACTGATTGTGGAGTTGATGATTCACTGTCCCCAACCATATCTGCGACACGCATTTTCTTAGCGCGGGGTGCCCCGTCACGCAATTCGTTGAGTTCACGTTCAACATCATCCAAGCGACGTTTTAATTGGTTTTCTCGGCGTTGCGACTCCTCGAGTCGATTCATAAGGTTGTGTTCTGATTCTCGGAGCATCGCAACTCCTTGATTCGCATTGGCTTCATCTTGTTCAAGTTGGGTGACTCGGCCTCGAAAGAGTTCATTTATGACTTCGAGCTCATTGACACGGGTTTTCAAAGATGAATTCTGGGCGATAAGTTGTTCGTATGTCTGGGGTACTTCAAGACCATGCGGTCCATTCATAGATGGTGACGCAGATCTTATATCCCCAGGGGAAGGTTGTCTAATGTGCATGGGTGGGAGAGACGGGGAATGATTGTATTGATGTTCTTCCAAGCCATTTCCGTTGAACGGGGGTAAATGGTTACCATACATCGAAGGAGTCGCAGTCCTGGAAATAGGAGAATTCGATCCATCTGAGTGGCCATTGGCAGACTTTCCTGATGTTCTTCTATGTCCTAGAGAACCCGGTGGTGGTGTCCCAGCTTGCGATCGCGCTTGGTCAAGACCATTAGCTTCATAAAGAGTCTGCGACGAAACGCGTTAGCAAACATAATATTTCTGCAGAATAATTAAAATACGAATGAATACCTTTTTCTTCGCACTCTGGGCAGTCCCAGAACTCTTGACGCGATTTCGACTCTTGATAACATCTGTCTTGAGGCTTATCGGCCGAGGTCTTCCGTGCAGCTTCAAAAAGAGACCACAAGCATTGCATAATACGGATCCTATTTCATCTCTGCGCCATAATGGAGTCGTTGAAGTCTGACAATTCTGACAGGTAGGCTGTTGGGTTTCGCGATCATTGTTAGCCATTGTAGCCATGATTGTGGTAGTGATAATATGAGATGTGCAAAATCGCTATCGTTATCGCAGATTGGAATGGACGAAAATTCAGATTGTTGCTCTGCTGATATCGCTTGGGGCTTAATTGATTAAACTCAAGTAGTGGGATGGATAGCGGAAGGAACGGGAAATGCCGAGTACGGTTGACCGTAAAGACTAATGACATGCCATAACTGACTGATAAAGAAAGGGTGACCGTATTTATCGGAACACTTATCCCAAAAGATAGGAGGAGATCGATTGAATGAATGATCGATTGATTGGAAAATGAAAATTCAATGGACATCAGAAACACAGAGACATTTTAAATGCTCCAATTATTTTCTGGTTTTCTCGACAATGGCCAAGAGATGGATGCGACGGAAATTGATTATGTATATAACAATACTCTATTAGAAAAGAGAAAAAAATATACATACCGGTGTATTGTTTTGACCTCCTCCAGAGGTAGCAGATGGTGATGATGTTGCATACCCCATATTCACACTTTGTCCGACGTTGAATGCCCTATGATGATCCAAATTAGCCTTTGAACCATGCATTATGTTGTACATCAAGATCCAAATATATTTGAAACTATGCTCTTCTCGTCCTTGAAAGTCTCGAAAAAATTCCAATGGAAAGCTTAAGTCAACTATTTCAACAATAGTCATTGTTCTTCCCCCCAGCAGATAAGAATTTGTTAATTCAAATTATGCTTGGGATGAAACTTCCACATCGTCCGAGACAATAGTAATTACAAAATTGTATTTTTCCCTCCACATCCCGAACGTACCTCAATTGTGGTGAACTTGTACCGGAAGCTATTGAAGCAAGTGCTGATAGACCAGGAAGCTGCGGCAGAGATGCACTATGGTGTAAAGAGTTCACAGTTGAGGTCGAAGATGGCCGAGAAATAGGATCCATGGGTGGCATGATGGGCAATGATTGCCTTCCATCACTCAACGAAGGTGACATGCGAAAGGGTGGCAGATCTCGACTTTGGTCTCTCGAGGAGGGCCGAAGATGATCGAGGGGCGATGCCCGGTAAATGGGTGCGAGTGTGGAAGCCGTGGTTGCGGTTTGAGGGGGGTAGTTATTAAATCGCGTCCGAAGTAGAACGCGAGGGATATGGTGATATTAGGGCTGGAATCGATTGTCCCTTGAATACTATATAACTTCAAATGTCTATGTTGAAACAGCAGAGATCTTTCGGATAATGACTGGAAGTAAGGCGAGTATGCTGACACTGGTAGCTGGGTTGAAATTATTATTCGAAAATTGCAGGTAGTGAAAGAAGCATAGGACTTTTCGGTTCGCTCAAACGATTGACTGACAGAAACTTGAACTTTTAAAGGGATTGATTGAATTTTGGGTATATAAGGACGATGAATGAAGAGACAGTGACTGATGTTACAATACAAAGAATCAAATCAGAGTTGCGAAGATTGGGGAAGAAGTTCTTGAGAGGAAACGAATTGCAGCTGGATCCTGGCTGCCCCTTATCCATTCGCGCTACCTTGCAATCAAAACGATCTATAAAAAGGATACTCCCGGACGCAAGGTACCTGATAATGACAAGCTCCAAAAATGTACAATTTTTACTACGAGGAATGAGTTATCTACCTATGTGCCATTACTTTGAAGTCAAAGAATGTAATTGAAATTGGTAGTACAATATGAAGGAGTTTCAGATTATTATGATTGAAGTACTTCATCTCCTGGGGATTTCCTCACAACTTCTAGCTACAGCATCAGCATCGAGTATCCATATCGATTGATGCATGCAAGATCGGAACATCTAGTTAAGTTACAGCTAAAAAGCTATGGTAACGTGAAGTTTCAAGATCCATTTCATACAGAGCGATAAAAAGCAATCTTCTAGAAGCAGAAGCAGAAGCATTACGCGGGAACGACAACGACTTGAAGCAATCATAACCTGAAGTAAGCTTACCTTACAATACATATTTCTCATCGAGAACGAACATAACCTCTCAAATCCTCATCCATGCGATCGATGCAAGCCCTAATTGCCATATTTATACATAACAGTAAGTTCTTTAGGTCTAGTTCGTTTGATTTGAGATATACGATACGATATGATATGTAATGAATGATATGTATCCGGGCGGAGGAAGACGATCCACGCATTGGCGCTAAGGCGGCACAAGGGTTCGAAAGTTCCTGACGAACTGAGAGAATTGAGTGGATCAGATTAATCGGCAATTGATAAACAATCTCAACAGAAGCAGAGGAATTATTAAGGCTGGCCATTAAGAATCTTTGAAACGAGACATCGAGAACATTTTTAGTTTACCCCTGAGATGGAAATTTAAGATTACGGTCGTTCCGTGGGTTGAAGGAAGCTCGAGGAAGGAAAGGATGGAAATAAAATGTGTCACGAGCCACTGGGAAACAATAGATTAAGTTCTTTTCCTGTCTTGATCATATGTGCATGTCGATAAAAAAGTAATCTGTGTCTATTCTATAAGCACTTGTCGGTTGAACTTGAGACGTGAGGTGCATACATATCTCATTACTCCGATAAGCTGATCAGCGTATTCCGATCAATGATACGCATGAATGATATGAACTGGCATGAACGGCATAACGGGAAGGTACCCATCGAGTGGAATCCTACATAAGATGGGGTTCTTCAGGCTTCAGCTGATAAAAGGAGGGCCGAGTTATACGGAGTATGAGTACGGAGTAGAAACGTTTATGGATGACGAATTCGTGGGACACCATTCGATAACGTTAATTCTAATCACTCCTCCGTACCGTCTGTCAATCTGTCAATCAATCCTCGGCTTTCATTTTCAGGGGTAAAAATGTACTCCGACCCAGCCGATCCTAGAATTTGGGCTCATCGTTGTAGGTCACGTGTCGTTATTACACTAGTTAGGGTTATCGATAACCCTAGCTTGAGCCAGGAAGCTATTACGGAAGCCTAGATCAAAATTGCACAGATGTCTCAAAAATATTCTGCCCATAACTTTTTTTCGAGCAAGGAAATTTAATTTAATCTTGAAGCTTCATCAAACACCACTCACCATCAACCATCAAAATGCCTTCGGTATACAATAAGGAGAAGCCATGGGATACTGGCGATATTGATAAATGGAAGGTAAATTTCAAAACTTTACAACTTATTCAGTTACCTGGATTCAGCGCAATACTCACACATACCAACTAGATTGAAGCATTCACGCCTGCTGACAATGTCGGAGGTACTTTTGCAGAAGAATCCTCCTTCGTTACCCTTTTCCCGAAATATCGCGAAGTATACCTTAAAACCGTCTGGCCACTTATAATGAAATCGCTCGAGAAATTTGGTATCGCTGCGACTCTTGATTTGCGCGAAGGTTCTATGACGGTCAAAACCACTCGAAAGACGTACGATCCAGCTGCCATTCTTAACGCCCGAGACCTTATCAAGTTACTTGCACGAAGTGTACCTGCGCCGCAAGCGATCAAAATACTTGAGGATGGTGTAGCATGCGACGTTATCAAAATTCGAAACCTGGTTCGAAATAAGGAACGATTCGTGAAGAGAAGACAGAGAATCTTAGGTCCAAACGGGAGCACTTTGAAGGCATTGGAACTTCTTACAGAATGCTATCTACTCGTTCAGGGAAATACTGTATCAGCAATGGGTCCTTACAAAGGTTTAAAAGAGATCCGACGAATCATTGAAGATTGCATGGCCAATATTCATCCTATCTATCACATCAAGGAATTGATGATTAAGCGAGAGTTGGCTAAGGATCCTGAATTGGCGGGCGAGAGCTGGGACAGATTCTTGCCGCAGTTCAAGAAGAGGAATTTGAGCAAGAGAAGAGTGCCTAGGAACGTTACAGACAAGGCCAAGAAAGTTTACACGCCATTCCCACCACCACAGGAGAAGAGCAAGGTGGATCTGCAGATTGAGAGTGGAGAGTACTTTTTGGGCAAGCAAGCAAAGGAGAGAAAAGCTCAAGAGGAGAGGATAGAAAAGCAGAAGGAAGAGAAGGAAGAGAAGATGAGGAAGCGAGCCGAGGAATTTGAGGCGCCAGTTGAGGACGGGGAGAAGAAGGAGAAGAAGAGAAAGAGAGACAAGGATAGTGGGGAGAAGAAGGAAAAGAAGAAGTCGAAAAAGAGGAAGAGCAGTGACGCCGATGGTGATATTGATATGGCCGAGGATTAAAGATAATTGTTCATGGAATTGAGGATTGTATACTGGGGCGCAATCGGGAGTTTTCTGTGGGAAATGCATTCGATATGAGTTTTGTATGCGGGAGACGGATGATGCATCTGTCAAATAAGGGTTTGTAAACTCATACCAAATCAAGTTATTTTCTACACACTCGGTTCAAGGGAATGGCCTTTTGATTGTAGGTTCTTTGTGCCGATAATTGAATGAATTATAAAATAAAATTGACATAGATAATATCTTGAGCTATTTAAACTTGGACACACTCGTACACAAGCTCATCGGCATTGATAGAAAGATGGATCTGCTGACAAAGACCAGACCAGATCAGATTTCTCCGAAAGTACTAGATCCCCCGACCCCGAACACAAACTCAAAAAACAAGCTTATTAATACTGCAAACGCTCTAAGAGTCTAAATACCCAGTACTTTCTGACTACGACATGAATTCTTCAACTCATATCATCCAGCACACATGCGAGGATAATTGGTTATCTTTTTATCTTTTTATCTTATCCATCTCCGAACTGCATACATGGCACATGCGGAGAAGACGGGAGTGTCTAGCGTTTTCTTTTTCATTCCGAACATATAAATTAAGTTATATTTTCCCGTGATAATCGGAAATGTGCACAAGTTGGGAAGGTGATTTGTGTTTGTGGCTGTTGTGCATAGGTAGATTTTGTTAGAACGAGAGCTTTGCTGGGCTGGCGAGTGCTTGGCATCCCACTCGCGAACATCGCTGATACCAATTCTTGGAATCCCTTGTATGTTTTTGAAGAACCGAATTCTTGGCGGACAACGGCAGTTTCCGATCTATGTTATCAGTGATTCTGTGTGTGTTGTAGCTCTACGCGAGTTGAGGTCGTGTCGTATCGTTGTTGTGTTATTCGTGGGCTTTGAAGATCTTTGAAGGGTGGGTGATGATGGGTGGAATTGGAAGTCGAAATAGATGTTACCTGCCTCTTTCATCACCACCATCACGGAGTGAGAAACGCTATGTAGATAGCTTCACATCTAGAGCTTCACGATCTATTGCAGAGTCTTCTCTCGAGTAGTGCTCGAGGGCGATGCATTATCTGAAGTATAAAGAGACATGTATCTCCAAGCTTTGAGTCAACCAGCTTTCCATTCAACAGCAGATCAATCCTCACGGCCTCTCTTTCTATCTTTCTTGGCATCTAAACTTCATCATGAAGGTTCAAACCAGTGCAGCGCTTCTCCTCTCCTCTTGGGTTCCAGCTACCTACGCTTGGGGTACCTTGGGACATGAAACTGTTGCATATATTGCTACCAACTTCGGTACTCAACAATCTTGCCATGATATCACACACATCTCTAACATCACGTTCCCACAGTCTCTGCTTCTACTAAATCCTATTTCCAAGGCATTTTGGGTGATAGCACTACAGACTACTTAGCAAGTGTTGCTGCCTGGGTTAGTCTTCTACTTCCAGATATCACACACCATTCTAATTTCTCTGCAGTCTGATTCGTACCGCTACACTACTGCTGGTAAATTCTCGGCACCGTTTCATTTTATCGATGCAGAGGATAACCCACCTGATTGTGAGTCGATGGAATTTTCTTTACTATTACCTCAATCAAAATGAAAGCGAAAAACTTATTTGCTCGCCTAAACTGCCTGCTTTGTGAATGATACTAATCTCATATTTATTCAGCGTGCGGTGTTGACTACGAGAGAGACTGCGGATCTTCAGGATGCGTCGTCAGTGCCATCCAAAACTACGTGAGCCTGCAACAACTACTTTATTGCCCACAAACAATGCTAAGCCATCGCAGACAACCATTTTACAAAAGGGCACTGCTAGTGCTGCCAACTTGGACATCGCAGCTAAGGTAAGCACCAATTTAAACTCCAAAAGCAGTTACTGATATTCAGCAGATGATCATTCACGTATGTCCTGATTTCCTCTCCCAACTCTGGAAGCCATCATATCTCCATTCCCCATATTCCACATGTCATTTCCAAGGCACATGGGTATCCCATGCAAAAAAGATACTCGGCACCGTGTTCCTCCCTTCATGGGCGAGCCGCCGGTCTAGGAACCACTTACTCACGTACCCTAGTTCGTCGGCGATATCCACCAACCGCTGCACGACGAAGAGCTCGACGTAGGCGGAAACACCATCTCCGTCACCTATGCCGGCAAAAAGACCAATCTGCACGCCATCTGGGATACGCAAATCCCCGAACAATACGTCGGCGGATACTCACTTGCCGATGCGAAAACTTGGGCAGCTACCCTCACCACCGCTATCAAGACCGGAACTTATTCCTCTCTCACCTCGGGCTGGACAAAGGGTATCGATATTGATGACCCAGTCTCTAGTTCGATGGTCTGGGCTCAGGATAGCAATGCCTATGTTTGCAGCACGGTTTTCGCAGAAGGTATTACGGCGGTGGAGTCGGGTGATTTGAGCACGAATGGTTACTATGATGCTGCTATTCCCATTGTTAAGTTGCAGATTGCCAAGGCGGGGTATAGGTTAGTAGTTTTGTTTGTCTTGCTTGTTTTTTGCCAGTGATTTTGGTATCTTGGGACTTGATAGGCTAATGAGTTTGTATTAGACTTGCCGCTTGGTTGGATTTGATCGCTACTGGTACTACTAATCTCTAAGTCATACTGGAAACTGGAAACTGGAAACTGGGAGCTGGGAATGGGGATATGATGAATGAATGAATGGGAAGAAAGAAAGAAAGAAAGAAAGAGAGAAAAAGATGTATATAGAGACATGAGTCAAAAATATCAATACCTACTCAAACATTCTTCGACATTGTATTGTTGCAAATCCGGATTCTCCATAACCTTATGGATGAAACCTTTACAATCAGAAAGTAAAAATAAAAACAAAACAGTATCTCTCACACTATACAAATCCCCAGCTAATAACTTTACATTGAAAACACCGTCTTTATAAACACCCAAACCAACATCGAGTACCTATTCAATATCCACTACCCAATCCCAAAGTAAATAAAATATAAATCAAAAAAAGTTATTACTCAGGTCCATTTCATTTATCTATCAAAATAAATGAAAAGTCTCGGGAATTTTGCAACGGTTATAGGTATAGATACAGATATAGATATATAATAACGAGGTTTTGAATTTTAACAAGGAATTTATGTTCATTAGTCTAAGGGCGGATTGGATAGGGGGAGGGTTGACTGTAATTATAGGATAGCAGATATTGGTAATTGGTAATTGGTAACTGTGTGATGGATGGAGTGGTGGTAAGTGTTTACAACTTATTTGAGCGTAATTATTTTATTTATTTTATTTTGGTATTTTTTTCCTTTTTCTGAAATGGATGTTTGTAAATAGGTAGGTTTGTAAGTTATATATAATAGTAATGAAACTGGGGAAAACTCGTCGGGACGTTGGTTTGAAAGAGCGACAGACTCATGGTAGATAGTGAAGGAAAGGAATACTATATTTGTTATATACATTCTTTCTTCCTTGATCCATAGCCATTGTATAGGCAAAGAAAATCGCATAAATACGAATATACAAATACACACCGCATATAATGAGAACCCCCCCTCCTTCCAAGTCACTAAAACCTAAAAATCTATACATAATCCTCATGCCAGTCATCATCCTCATCATCCTCATCATCCTCATCATCCTCATCATCCTCATGCCAGTCATCATCCTCATCATCCT